CTTCCTTCCTTCCTTCCTTCCTTCCTTCCTTCCTTCCTTCCTTCCTTAAACTACAAACTGAAAGCATTACATGAATACATGAAAAAATCCTACAAAAAGCCTAAAAAAAGGATTTTATATAACTATACATTATACAACAGAATGGAATATTTCTAAGGGCAGATGTACAGAAAAACACTGAGGTAAAAAGGAAGACATATAAAAGAATGAGAAACAAGAAAGAAAATATAAGAAGAGTATTGAAGGATACAAAAAAAGAAAAGCTTATATATTTTATTCTTACTCACATTGTATGAGGACACCTGCTCAGCCAATCTCTTTTCCCTTCCTGACAATATATGTTCTTCATCCTTCTTATTGAATGACTTCCTTGCTTCTTGTGTTTCCTGAAGAATGAACACAGGTTAACACATTACTGAACCATATAGTTAAGGAAAAAAAAAAAAAAAAGAAATACTATTATTTTTACTCAGATTGACTAAATAAGAGACTAGAGTAAGTTTGTTGAATCTTTTCCACTAGGAATATGAATAGAGTTGGTAAGGGATCAGTTCATGTTCTACTCAGTGATTTTCTTGAAAACAAGAAGAAAACCTATTCAGATCAATAGAAAAACCTATTTACTTAGTTGTGTGTGTCAAATTCACAAAGGAGTTTGACAAATAATGATGAATTGTAGGAGAGGAAATTAGGCTTTAAAAGAAATCTGAGAGGGGCACCTGGCTGGCTCAGTGGGTAGAGCATGTGACTTTTTGAGCTCAGGGTTGTAAGTCTGAGCCCCACCTTGGATATACAGATTACTTAAAAATAAAGCCTTAAAAAAATAGAAAAGAAATCTTACATTATCTGTTTTTAAAAGTAGTAATATCATGCTTGAGGGAAAAAAATAAAGAAAAAGAAAAGGTTTACAGTTTGGAAAAGAAATACTAAAGTATCTTTATTCACAGATGACATGACTATTTATGTAGAAAACTCCAAAGCATCCATGAAAATACTCTAATAAGAAAGTACACTTGATCAAAGCTGCAGGATACAAGGTCAATATACAAAATATACCAACAACGAACAACTGGAATTCGAACTTAAAAAAAAATTAACAATAGTGTATACACAAGATGAAGTACTTAGATAGATTTCCAACAAATTTTAATTAGAAAAAAAAAATTCTAGAGAATACAGTCCCAACCAGGGATGAGAAAAGCCCACATAAAAACAACTTAAAAGCACTGTTCTCAAAGCATATTTTAATATTGTTGTTATCTGCTTAAGAAAACCAAAAAGGTCATCTATAATGTTTATCTTAATAATATACAAAACAGGGGCTCCTAGCGGGCTCAGATGGTAGAACACATGACTCTTGATCTTAGGGTTTGAGTTCAAGCCCCACATTGGGTGTGGAGCCTACTTAAAACACATGTACAAAACAACACTGCTTTTGCTAAAGTATGTTAAAAACATAGGCATAGCTCAGTTCTTATTTTCTCATAAAAATTTTCCTAGAAAACATGCTTTCGTTTATTAATATTAAGGGGAAAATGATATTATGGTAAAATGGCGATAAAAACCTGACCATTTAATATTTAAGAGTTAACAGATCTAATCAAGACTGGGAGGTAAGGTAATAATAGATGTCAGCGAATTTTATTTATTTATTTATTTTAAAACAATGTTTATTTATTTTGAGTGAAAAAGTATCCGAGCGGGGAAGGGACAGTGAGAGAGGGAGAGAGAGAATTCCAAATGGACTCTGCTGTCAGGAAGGAGCCCAACATGGAGCTTAATCTCACAAACCATGAGATCATGACCTGAACTGAAATCAAGAGGCAGAGGCTTAACTGAGCCACCCAGGTTAGCCACCCTCTACCTAACATTTAAAGAAGAATTAATACCTATTCTCAAACTATTCCAAAAAACAGAAAAGAAAACTTCCAAATTCATTCCATGAAGCCAACATTACCCTGATACCAAAACCAAATAAAGACACCACTAAAAAAGAGAACTATAAGCCAATATCCCTGATGAACATAGATGTAAAAATTCTCAATAAAATACTAGCAAACTGAATCCAACAATACATGATAAAAATCACTCACTATGATCAAGTGAGATTTATTCCTAGGTTGCAAAGATGGCTCAGTATTTGCAAATCAATCAGGGTGAGACATCACATTAATAAAACAAAGGGTAAGAACCATATGATCATTTCAATAGATGCAGAAAAAGCATCTGAGAAAGTACAACATCCATTCGTAATAAAAATCCTCAAGAAAGTAGGTTTAGAGGGAACATAACCTCAACATGATAAAGGCCATCTATGAAAAACCCACAGCTAAGATCACCCTAAACGGGGAAAACAGAGATTTTCCTCTACCGTCAGGAGTAAGACAGGGTTGTCCACTCTCACCACTGTTGTTCAACACAGTACTGGAAGTCCTAGCCACAGCAATCAGACAGCAAAAAGAAGTAAAAGGTATCCAAATCGGCAAGGAAGAAGTGAAATTTTCACTCTTTGCAGATGACATGATATTCTATATAGAAAACCCAAAAGACTCCACCAAAAAACTGAACTGATAAATGAATTTAGTAAAGTCGCATAGTACAAGATCAATGTGTAGAAATCTGTTGCATTTGTATACACCAATAATGAAGCGAGAAAAAGAGGAATTAAGGAATTAATCCCATGTACAACTGCAGCCAAAAAAGTAAGATACCTAGGAATAAACCTAACCAAAGAGGTGAAAAACTTGTGCTCTGAAAACTATAGAACACTGATGAAAAAAATTCAAGATGACACAAAGAAATGGAAAGACATTCCAGGCTCCTAGATTGGAAGAACAAATACTACTACCCAAAGTAATCTACACATTTAATGCAATCCCTATCACAATACCAACAGCATTTTTCATGGAGCTCGAACAAACATTCCTAAAATTTGTATGGAACCATAGAAGACTCTGAAGAGCCAGAGCAACCTTGAAACAAAAACAAAAACAAAAACAAAAACAAAAACAAAAACAAAGCTGGAGGCATCACAACTCCAGACTTCAAGTTATACTACAAAGTTGTAGTAATCAAAACAGTATGGTATTGGCACAAACATAGACACCTAGATCAATGGAACAGAACAGAAATCACAGAAATGAACCCACAAATATATGGTCAATTAATCTTCAACAAAGCAGGAAAGAATATCGAATGGGAAAAGGAATGTCTCTTTAACAAATGGTGCTGAGAAAACTGGATAGCCACATGAAATAGAATTAGCCTGAACCACTGTCTTACACCAAACACAAACATAAATCCAAAATGGATTAAAGACCTAAATAGGAGACCTGAAGCCATAAAAATCCTAGAAGAGGGGTGCCTGGGTGGCTCAGCCGGTTGAGCGTCCAAGTCTTGATTTTGTCTCAGGTCAAGATCCTAAGGGTCATGGGATTGAGCCCCATGTCAGGCTCTATGCTGAGCATGGAGCCTACTTAAGATTCTCTCTCTTTCTTTGCCCCATTTCCTTGCTCTCATGCTCTCTCTAAAAATAAATGAAATGAAATGAAATGAAATGAAATGAAATGAAATGAAATGAAATGAAATGAAATAAAATAAAATAAAATAAAATAAAATAAAATAAAATAAAATATTCTAGAAGAGAACACAAGCAGTAACTTCTTAGACACTGGCCTTAGCAACTTCTTCTAGATATGTTGCAAGGGAAACAAAATAAAAAATAAACTACCGGAACGACATCAAAATAAAAAGCTTCTGCACAGCGAAGGAAACAATCAACAAAACTAAAAGGCAACCTATGGAATGGGAGAAGATATTTGAAAATGGCATATTGGATAAAGAGTTAGTATCCAAAACCTATAAAGAAATTATCAAACGCAACCCCCCAAAACTAAATAATCCAATTAAAAAATGGGCAGAAGACATACAGATGGCCGGCCAACAGATACATGAAAACATGCTCACCATCACTTATCATCAGGGAGATACAAATCAAATCCACGTGATATTCCACACGTGTAAGAATGGCTAAAATCAACAACACAAGAAACAACAAATGTTGGTCAGGATGTGGAGAAAGGGGAACTCTCTTACACCATTGGTGGCCTGTTGGTGGGAATGCAAACTGGTGCAGCCACTGTGGAAAACAGTATGAAGGTTCCTCAGAAAGGTAAAAATAGAACTACCCTATAATCTGGCAATTGCACTAGGTATTTATCCAAAGAATACAAAAATAATAATTTGAAGGGATACATGCACCCTGATGTTTATAGGAGTCAAACTATGGAAACAGTCCAAGTGTCCATCAATTGATGAATGGATAAAGAAGGTGTGGTGTATATATAAATGGAATATTGCCCAGCCATAAAAAAAGAATGAAATCTTGCCATTTGCAACATGGATGGAGCTAGAGAGTATTATGCTAAGCGAAATAGGTCTGTGAAAGACAAACACCATTATGATTTCACTCATAATGCAATTTTTTTTTTTAATGTTTATTTATTTTTGAGACAGAGAGAGACAGAGCATGAACGGGGGAGGGGCAGAGAGAGAGGGAGACACAGAATCAGAAGCAGGCTCCAGGCTCCGAGCCATCAGCCCAGAGCCTGACACGGGGCTCGAACTCACAGACCGCGAGATCGTGACCTAAGCTGAAGTCGGATGCCTAACCGACTGAGCCACCCAGGTGCCCCACTCATAATGCAATTTAAGAAATAAATGAGCAAATGAGAAAAAAAAAAAGAGAGAGGCAAACCAAGAAACAGACTTTTAACTATAGAGAACAAACTGATGTTACCAGAAGGGAAGTGGGTGTTGGGATGGGTTAAATAGGTGATGGGGATTAAGGAGGGCAATTGTGAGCACCAGGCATTGTATGGAAGTGCTGAATCACTATATTGTATACACTGTATGGTTAACTAACTAGAATTTAAATAAAAGCTTAAAAAAAAGATGGCATCATAAGAAACAAAAATGGAAAGATGGGGAAAGTCTGTCAAAAAGGAAATTTAGCTAAGATCTGTGACAAAAATTAGTCACAAACTTTACACAGAATGAAATACACAAGAAAATGAATGGCTCTCCGATACTGTATAGTTTATACCATAAATATTTGTCTGTGGTACTATGCGCTACTATTTAAAGTTTTTATTTATTTATTTTGAGAGAGAGAGAGAGAGAGAGAGAGAGAGGAAGAACAAGCCTCCGACAGAGAAGGAAAGAAAGAATCCCAAGCAGGCTCCGCACTGTCAGTGCAGAGCCCGATGTGGGGCCTGAACTCACAAACCATGAGATCATGACCTGAGCCAAAATCAAGAGTCGGATGCTTAACCGACTGAGCCACCGAGGCACCTCTGTGGTACTATATGCTAAATATAGTATCCCATAAAATTTAAGGAGTATTAATAATCCCTTTATGAATTTGCTGTAGAACTGAACAAAACACTTTCAAGTACTGAAAAGAAAAAGATCTGAAGAACTTAATCATAGGTCCTAAAATCACTGGGTTGTCTAATTTCCATTTGCTCCATTTTTCTGATATTTTCCTCGGAAGAAGAGTCCCTTCATATCTGGCTGTAGGCTAGACATCTATTTACCTATAGTGAGGAACAGAAGGAGAGAGAAAAGCACAACTAACATAGACATGAATAAATTCACGTAAACAAGGCAATGTCTTTTCTGGAGACAATCTTAAAGGCTAAACTACAAAAATGCCAATATATTATTTTTATAAAACACCAGTTAAGAAAGAGTAGACAGGCACCGCAACACTAGTCATTCAAAGCATGCGGCTTACTTCCACACCACCTCTTTTTAAAAAAAAAAAAAATTTTTTTTTTAAGGTTGATTCATTTTTTAGAGGCAGAGACAGAGCACAAGTGGGGGAGGGGCAGAGATAGGGAGAGACAGAATCCGAAGCAGGCTCCAGGCACTGAGCTGTCAGCACAGAGCCCAATGCGGGGCTCGAACCCACGAACTGTGAGATCACGACCTGAGCTGAAGTCGGATGCTCAACCAGCTGAGCCACCCAGGTGCCCCCACACCACCTTTTCTGTTGCTTCTTCTGCCTCAGGTGTGTTGGTTCACCTCAACTTTCTATTACAACTCTTAGACTTCCCTTAATCTTCTGGGCCAAAGAGAATTTACAATTTTGCCACATGTGCAAGGTAGGGTGCTAAAATCTGGAGACATTACATCCACATTTTAAGAATAACACGGGGGGTGCCTAGGTGGCTCAGTCGGTTAGGCATCTGACTTCAGCTCAGGTCATGATCTCACAGTTTGTAGGTCTGAACCCTACATCGGGCTCTGTGCTCACAGCTCAGAGCCTGGAGCCTGCTTCGGATTCTGTGTCTCTCTCTCTTGGCCTTCCCTGCACGTGCTCTGTCCCTCTCTCTCTCTCAAAAATAAATAAACATTAAAAAAAAAGAAAAGGGTAACACGGGGTATTTTATAACCAATTCTCCACTAAAATGAAAACTCCGTAAGAAGCTTTTCCAGGGCACCTGGGTGGTTCAGTTAGTTAGGTGTCTGACTCTTGATTTCGGCTCAGGTCATGATCTCATGGTTTTTAAGATCGAGCCTGCATAGATAGGGCTCTGGGTGCCAGCCTGGATCCTATTTGGGATTCTCTCTCTCTCTCTCTCTCTCTCTCTCTCTCTTTCTCTTTCTGCTCCTCCCCTACTTGTGTGCACATGTGTTCTCTCATTCTCTCTCTCTCTCAAAATAAATAAGCTTGAGAAAAAAAAAGCTTTTCCATTTTGCTATTACCTACAACCAAACTGAATGCCTGGCAGAGAAGGCATTCAATCTATAGTTACAGAATGAAAAGAGAAGGTCTCATAATTCTTGGTACTGATGGAGAAGATAAACAGTAGAGGAATGAATGAAGTGTGAACTATGGAAGTCAAAACTGGAAAGCTGTAGCCTTCGGGTGCCAACTACTCAAGGATTCAAATTTGAATTAAAGGGAGTAAAAACCTTCGGATGGGGTAAATTTAAGAAGTAGTGCTGGGGGTATTTCTAATTTACAATGGTTCAATTCCTTTTTTTAATTTTTTTTTTTTAACGTTTATTTATTTTTGAGACAGAGAGAGACAGAGCATGAACAGGGGAGGGTCAGAGAGAGAGGAAGACACAGAATCTGAAACAGGCTCCAGGCTCTGAGCTGTCAGCACAGAGCCCGATGCGGGGCTCGAACTCACGGACCACGAGATCATGACCTGAGCCGAAGTCGGATGCTTAACCGACTGAGCCACTCAGGTGCCCTACAATGGTTCAATTCCTAATTTATAATGTAAGATTTTGTAAAAAGCAGAGTCAATAATGCATTCTATCCAAACTTCTTTTCTTTTTTAGCAAATTATTTAACGCACTTATGAAAGCGTTTCTTTTTTTAAAAACTGAGGTATAACTGATGAAACATTTTATTAGTTTCAGGTGTACAACATGATTCAATATTTGTTATATATTGTGAAATAATCAAAATAGGTCAACTTCCATCACCATATACAGCTACCAACATTTATTCCATTTGTGATGAGGACTTTCAAGATCCACTCTCCTAGCTAATTTCAAATACGCGATACAGTATTACTAAGTATAGTTACCATGCTGTACATATGTCCCCATGAGTTTTATTTACTTCCTCCATTTTGCCTCCCCCTACCTCCAGGCAACCACCAGTCTATTCTCTATATCCATGACTGTTTTTTTTTTTTTCTGGTTTGTTTTTTTAGATTCTGCACAGAAGGGAGATCATATAGTATTCAGCACTATCGATGAAAGCATTTCTTGCCTATTTTGACAGTAACACAAAACATAGTGCACCTGAAGTAAGGTCATTTTGTGGGAGAATCTCTAGGTATCATTTAACCTAGGTGAACCCATGGCTTTAGTTTCATGGAGACAGTATGATGGTGTATAAGGACTAGAGAATTTAGAATTAAAGAAAGGTCTAGAATAGAATTATTATTCATTACTAATCAGCCCTCTAATTCCAGAAAAGTGGACCTCATAAAAGTTAGTTTCTCCCTCTATAAAATGAAGTCAGTAAGTCCAGATCTCTGGGTTTTCTTGAGATTTAAATGAGATAATTCATTGGGAAATCGCAAGCAACTGGTGTCACTGTCCTTATTTTCTTTCAGGGAGAAATGTGTATTTTCCCTTTGGAATCATAATTTAAAAATAGTACCTTTAAATCATCATGCCTTCTATGTTTTCAAAATACAGCCAACATGGGCAGAAATACATGCACAAACAAGCTCTCTCACCTTAGCTCTCCTCTCCCTGTCAGCTGGGGTGTCTGTCCAGACCGATCGATCCCCAGATTTCTCATTGGCTCGTCTCTTAAAAGTTCTGGGCCCGAGACCAAAGTCTTTCATTTCTGGAGGAAGCTCAGTCATCCATGACTCTCTTGTAATTGGTTTGGATGAATTCTTTAAGAGAAGTAAAAAATCAAACAGTCAAAAAAAAAAAAGAAAAGTAGCCCAGAAAGCGTTTGTAAGATACTGTATAAGTGGCCATGTTTCTCAATTGAGGCTTTAAGAGAAAGAATTTAATATAAAGGATTATATTTTGTCATATATGTTACAATTACCTCATCCAATTTATTGTTCTTTTGACTTTGTTATCTTTTGCCACACAGAAATTTTTAAATAGGCAAATTTGCCAGTCTTTTCCTTTTACAGCTTCTAGATTACCTTGCTCCTAAGTTTTCTTTATATACATATTGCATATATTTTATTTATATTATTAATTATATTATTTATTTATATTACTTATATACATAATGCATATATTTTCTTTCATCTCGATTTTATTTTTTTTTAATTAATTTTTTTTTTCAACGTTTATTTATTCTTGGGACAGAGAGAGAGACAGAGCATGAACGGGGGAGGGGCAGAGAGAGAGGGAGACACAGAATCGGAAACAGGCTCCAGGCTCTGAGCCATCAGCCCAGAGCCCGATGCGGGGCTCGAACCCACGGACCGCGAGATCGTGACCTGGCTGAAGTCGGACGCTTAACCGACTGCGCCACCCAGGCGCCCCTCATCTCGATTTTAAAATTTAGATTTTTAATCCATTTAGCCAATTTCTCAGAGTATAGTATATTTGAAACTTACATCATCTCCTCTGGTCAGTTTTTCTTTCATTCTCTGGGCCCTTTTTTCAAACTCTGTCGTGACGCTGTAGTTAACTGGTCCTTTTGCAGGCATGGGTCCAACAATGTCCTCATCTTCACTGCTATCTGTTTCCTTTTGAAATAAGACATTGCCTTTAAACCAGGAGCAGAGCCATAGGTTATAGAAAATGATCCTAAAATACTTAAAATTTCACTGCAACGGATTACTTAGAGACAATAAGACAAAAACGCAAACAATGTATTGCTGGCTGATCACTGAGCAATGAGGACCTCTTCCTCGCCTAAAATCATTGTTGCACCATGTGCTAACTAACTTGGATGTAAATTATAAAAAAATAAATGAATTATAGAAAAAAAATACTCTGATGGTATCAGTAGTGAAGGTGTTAAGAATAACAACCATGACGAGAGCTATTATAAGTTGAAAATGTTCTGACTTAATCCTCACCAACAACCCTCTAAGACAAGGATAACAACCTGCATGATACTGACATGAAACTAAGCTCACCCAGGAGCCAATGGCTCTTGCCTTCTCTCTCCTGTTCTCTTCCCTCCAAGCACACTGGACTTCTTTTGAAAAAAAAAAAAAAAAAAAATTTTTTTTTAATGTTTATATTTTTGGAGTGAGTCGGGGAGGGGCAGAGAGAGAGAGACAGACACAGGATCTGAAGCAGGCTCCAGGCTCTGAGCTTTTAGTACAGAGCCCCACACGAGGCTCAAACCCACGAACTGCGAGATTATGACCTGAGCCGAAGTCGGATACTTAACTGACTGAGCCACCCGGGTACCCTCACACTGAACTTCTAAAGCCCTAACTTTCCTCCTCTCTACACTGCTTTCTCTTCAAATAAGCTATCTGTGCTTTCTGGAACAATCTCTCCTGCCCTCTTTGCTGAGACATCTCCAACGCATCAGTCTTCAGTTTAGACATTTTCTCAGAGACAAAGAGTTTTTCTCATTTCTTTAGGTTAGTTTAGATTCCCCTGTCATGGTTCCATAGTATTTTGTCTCACCCTTTTCTTTTTTTAATTTGTTTTTTAACGTTTATTTATTTTTGAGACAGAGAGAGCATGAATGGGGGAGGGTCAGAGAGAGAGGGAGACACAGAATCTGAAACAGGCTCCAGACTCTGAGCTATCAGCACAGAGCCTGATGCGGGGCTCAAACTCATGGATGGTGAGATCATGACCTGAGCCGAAGTCAGATGATCAACCAACTGAGCCACCCAGGCACCCCTTGTCTCACCTTTTGAATCACTAATAATGTTAGATGTTTGTGTAATGTCCATATTCCCCATTACCCTGCAGGTTGATTAGTGTGATTATCTGGGACTATGTCTAACGTACTCATTCATTCAACAAATACTTCCGAATGCCCCTAGGGAGAAGACAAAATCTCCGTCCTCAACATTCTAGTGGGGAGAGGTCAACAATAAACAGAAAGAAGCAGTAACAGATGGTATCTGAGGTGCTGACAGATGCTATGGAGAGAATTAAAGGCCAGAAGGAGAGACGAGTAAAGGGAAGAGGAGATAGTAATTTTGAGCTAGGAGGTCGGAAACGACCTCACTAAGGTGACATTCCAGCCCAACACGGACGGAAGCTCTGAGAGGCAAGCCACATAGATATCTAGGGGAAGACCACTCTGGGGAGACTTTGCAGGAAAGAACAGTCAGGGGCAGGAGCCTGCTGGGCGTAAGTGAGGAGGTACAGCAAGGAGCACATTGTGGTCAGATTGACGTTAAGAGAGAAAATCATGGAGCTCAAGGAGACATTACAATGTGTAGGGCTCTAGTTTTAATTTTATTAAAAAAATTTTTTTAATATTTATTTAATTAAAAAATATTTACTTTTGAAGAAGAGACAGACAAAGCATGAGTGGGGGAAGAGCAGAGAGAGAGGGAGACACAGAATCTGAAGCAGGCTCCAGGCTCTGAGCTGTCAGCACAGTGTAATGGCTCTGTTTTTTTATTGTTTTTATTTTTCATTTTTCTTAAGTAATCTCTACGTTTCACATGGGGCTCAAGCTCATGACACCACAATCAAGAGTCGCATGCTCTACGGAGCCAGCCAGGTGCCACAGGGCTTGGCTTTTATGTAGAGAGAGGAGGAGCAGTGTGATAGTTCTGAGGGTGAGTGACACAATCTGACTTCATTTTGCGCAGGCTCTAGCTGCCGTGTTGAGAGGAGGTAACAGAAAAACAAGGTTTAAAATATCAAGACCAATAAACAGATGAACTATGATTTGACTTAGACTAGGGGAGGAGCAGAAATGGTTGGACTGTGGATGTCCTTTGAAGGTGGGAGGAACTAGACTTGTTGACAGACTCATTCCTGTGACCATGTGCCTCATACACTGTAGTAGGTACTCTCTAAGCAGCTGTTGAAGGAAGGAGTAAATCACTCTGAAGTTCATGGTCTTAACCACTGCATTATATTTTCCTTGGTAACAGCCACAGTGTAACTGCTCAGTTCTCCATAGAGATGAACATCCAGGAAGTTACTACAGAATAACAGACTGAACAGGTGATCTAAAGCATTAAGAACTGGGCGTAAGGGGCACCTGGCTGGCTTGGTCAGGAGAGCAAGCGACTCTTTTTTTTTTATTTAAAAAAAAAAAAAACCACTTTTTTAATGTTTTTTTTTTTTTTTTTAATTTATCTTTGAGACAGAGCATGAGCAGGGGAGGGGCAGAGAGACAGGGAGACACAGAATCCGAAGCAGGCTCCAGGCTCTGAGCTGTCAGCACAGAGCCTGATGCGGGGCTCGAACTCACGGACTGTGAGATCATGACCTGAGCTGAAGTCGGTGCTTAACTGACTGAGACACCCAGGCACCCGAGAGCAAGCAACTTTTGATCTTGGGGTTGTGAGTTTGAGTCCCTTGTAGAGTGTAGAGATTACTTAAAAGTAAATCTTTAAAAATAAAAAACTTAAAAAGAAAAAAAAAAGAACTTGGTTTAAGCTTTGGCTTTGATTAGTGCAAAGTGTGCAATCTTGGGTAAGTTACCAAATTTCTCTAGTTTTTAGTATCTGTCAGATGGCGGATAATATCTATTTCATAACGTTGCAGAGAAAATAATATTCACATATGGGGAAAAAGCATTACAAATTATAAAGTACTCTACAAATCTCAGCTATTGGTAAGGACCAGGCCTCTAACAAGAAAACAGCTTTCATACTTGACTCTAAAATCATTGACCTATCTTTTCATAAAATCATTTAACCATCAGCTTTGTTAAATACAGGCACCAGAGATGGATGGATAAGAACTAATTTCAAGGTAGACCATTATCAAAAAATTCCTCAGCTGTCTTTTTTTCAGGTCAAATCACCATGATTCCTTAAACTTTTCATCATGTTGTATTTTCTGGCACTGTAAACATTGCCTTCAAGGATGAGAAGCATGAATAGATCACATTCTGTCAACATGTAACTGCCTTATTATTTTTTTATAACATCTAAGTTCTGTGACAAGCTTCTGATTTAGTATACCTTACAATCCTAGATTAATGTGGATGCAACTGTGTGACTGCGTATTAGTTACATTTGAGCCAAATGATTACATAGTTATTACTCTGCAAAGTCTTGAGTTTGTTACATCTTATGCTTTAATCAAAAAATTTCCAAACCTCATAGTTGAAATATGATGATACTTGTTGTCCTGGATCATCTCGGCCTTTGTCACTTTTCTGAGTAGATTTAATAAAACCAGGTGGTAATGCAGGACCTATTATAGGCCTGAAAAATAAAATGTACCTTTAACATTCTCCCTGATTTTCAAAAGCAGTTTTTAGAATAAGAGTTCACAAAAAAGAAAAAAAAAACCCAAATACTAACAAATGTTGAAGATGAGAATTTCATGTAACATATTATTTGTATTTTATAACCTAGTATTTTTCTATAGTGTCTTAAAAAAATACAATTTTCTCATTTTTATTTTCTATTTGTTTGTCAATGCTAAGATACTAAACCAGTAATTCTCAATGGCAGTGATGTATATCACTTCCTAAAAGAACTCCATTAAATAAAAATAATATTTTTTAAAAATTCCTTATTAAGAATTAAAGCCTGTGAAGATATTTTTCTATTTTGTACCTTGGCTTTCAGTTTTGATATTCACTGACCACTGACAGGTGCATTAGGCGTGTTATAGTTACAGTCAGAACTCTTTAAGTATAAATTGAGTTCTAAGAACATAAACGGTGCATGCATACAGAGATGTCGGCAATTTATGGTTACATGTGCCATGGGAGTATACAAATCTGAACGCTGTCCTCACTATGGAAGTGCACAAGAATGAAAAGTCATTTGAGACCTACAGACAAAGGAAAAGGTGCTGTGCTAGCCACATTTCAACCAGAGCACTTTTCTGTTTCCTTCAAACAACCCCTAAGTCGTTCCATTTTCTGGGTGAGCAAAATAAGGCCCAAGGACACCACAAACTAGCAAGTGTCAGTGCTGGCGTTTGAGCCCTGGTCTCCTCGATGCCAAAGTTCATTTTCTTTCAAGGTGACCTATTGCTACATTTCTGAGGGAACTGACATCAGTCCAAATGGGAGAAGTGCCTAAAATCTGGGGCTTACAAAGAGAAAGCCTTACTTCAGGGAAAAAATAACAGAGACAAGATATTTTCTACTCTCTTTCATACTCTACGTTTTTTAATTCTTTCTTTCATACCATTGTTTTCCCCAGAGATGTCGCTGTACCAGTATTAACAAGCAAGATGGCAATGAAGTCCTAAGCTGACTTTTCCAGGTTGCACTGTGTTCTATCAGAGCCTCACAGACAGGCTTCGTAGCAGAGGAAAATTGGTACTGACTCAGAAGGTCTGGGTTCTGATCCTGGCCATTTAACAGCCATATACAACTCTCAAGAAAGACATTGCTATACTTCTAATAATGTGCTTTCTTGAAAGGAATGTTATGACCCAGTGGTTAGCAAATTTTCTGTAAAAGGCCAGAGAGGACATTTTAGGCTTTGAGGGCCATATATGGGTCTCTTAGGCATGCCGGTCTTTGTTTTTTAGATGACCCTTTAAAGATTATTCTTGGCTTGGTGGCATACAAAATCAGGCAGCAGAGAGTCTAGCCTTATTTCCAAAAGGTCCAAAGTTAACATGAAAATTGGAGCTGATCGGGGCGCCTGGGTGGCGCAGTCGGTTAGGCGTCCAACTTCAGCCAGGTCACGATCTCGCGGTCCGGGAGTTCGAGCCCCGCGTCAGGCTCTGGGCTGATGGCTCGGAGCCTGGAGCCTGTTTCTGATTCTGTGTCTCCCTCTCTCTCTGCCCCTCCCCCGTTCATGCTCTGTCTCTCTCTGTCCCAAAAATAAAACAAACAAACAAACAAACAAAAAAAACGTTGAAAATTGGAGCTGATAGATAGGATTGTAAAGTTTGAATATAAAATATACAATAGTTGGGGCGCCTGGGCGGCTCAGTCTGTTAAGCATCCGACGTCGGCTCGGTCACGATCATGGAGTTTGTGAGTTCGAGCCCCGCGTTGGGCTCTGTGCTGTCAGTTCGGAGCCTGGAGCCTGCTTCAGATTCTGTGTCTCCCTCTCTCTCTGCCCCTCCCCCACTCACGCTTGCTCTCTGTCTCAAAAATAAATAAAAAAACCACATTAAAATATACAAGTCTTTTTGACTTGTTCTCGCATACTGGTAACAGTGCTCTGAATTATAAACAAGGTGGTGTGCAATTACGTATTCAGCATTAAAAACTTTATAATTCTGAGAAGATAGGAATCAAAACTTACTATATGCTTACCTGGGGCCAGGCATCATGTAAGAGGCACGCGCGCGCGCACACACACACACACACACATATGTGCATGTATGTAAATATGAAATCTGAGTCACCACAATTTTGAAACGTACGTGTTGTTATCCTATTTTGCAGATGGCAATTCTGAGGTACAGAGAAGTTGGTCAAATTGTTTAACGTGGCACACAGGAATTGTTCTTTCTGTCACCAAATAACTAAGAAAGCATCTAATTTTAAAGGTAAATACCAGGATTCCAGCCCCAGGCCTACTGCTTACTATGTGTGCAACCTTATCTATTTAAGAAAAGGGCGAAGAGGGATAATGCTGCACTCAGTCTATCACAGAGCACTCTTGTGAGCATCAACTAAGGGATGTGGAGGTTTTTTATAAACTACAGAAGTGTTTATAGGCATGTAAATAATCATTTTTGTTAGAGGAAACAGTTACTTTCCCCTATGCGTTTCAAACGTTCTATAAATCTGTAAGTTAAAAAACAACTTTGGACAGCACTTTATTGAATCAACAAACACCTACTGAAATAGTTGGAAAAGACTGGCCTGAAACACTACACATTGTCACCTTGGAGGAGAATCATCCTGCTTTTTAAATCCGGGAGGAAGAGCTGGTCCAAAAAACCCTTCATCATCATCGTCATCATCCTGAGTTCTCCTCTGTTTTCTACAAACACAGTAGTACAACGTTACGCAAATTTTTTTCACAGAGAATTTTAAGTTTTAAAGGAAGCATTAACTCCAACTAGTTGTATAAACACTGAAACAATAAATTCATCTTGCCCAATGAGAACAAATGGACACCACAGTTGATCTTATATCAACATTTTCCTGGAATTAATTTTTGGCCTAAAATAGTGCCATATTTTCTATGGCAGTAGTTTTCTATATTTTCTATAGTGTTAAAGATTCCACTTTACTGAGGTTTCGAAGAGTCTACTTGCTGAATGTTTTTGAGCAAAAAGTTTGACGCTAGCTTTTTATCTCATGCAGGAAGGTTTTAAGTTGCTAGTTCTGTCTTATCTTTAAAACGCATCAAAAAACCCTTGCTACCCAATACTAAACAAAAATTCCACTTTTCTTTACATGGACCCATGGCAAGGAAGGGTAGTTAGAAGGAAATCATTCATTTACTTAAGCAAAAACCGTACACTGCATAAATAATTTCTAAAAGAAATCCTATGGCTCATCTAGAATATGTATTTAGACACTTCAGTAATACCTTAAGAAAAAATCTTTTAGATAAGAATTTAATTGAAATCCTAGATGTCTCCACAACTATCTACTACAATAAATTTCCTTCTAGAAGGCGTAGTTCCTGACGAAATGCCATATGAAACGATTTCTTCCTGTGCTGTAAAGATACAGATATGGCATTCCTGACTATCTATTCCAGCCAAAGTATGCTAGGTTTGAAGCTTGGTTTATTTAAGTGACTGACCTTGCACTTGGACCAGTGTCATCTTCTTCAGATTCTTGATTTCCTTCTTCGTACAATGAACTACTGTCCTCATCACTGTCTGATGACTCTGAGCTACTGCTTTTATAATTAGGGGGTAAAGCTGGTCCTGCAACTATAGGAAATTTCTTGTTTAAGTCACAATTGGTCATAATTGTTGCAATTATGCATAACTGTGCAATTATGCATAAAATGTTTCAATGAACCCCTTAGCCAACACTTTATGCTTTATTTTCTATTTTTATAAAAGTATACATTTTATATTTTCTTACACGATACATCTTCCCAGCACTCGCTGGCTATTACTTATTATGAACTTTTATCTCATTTGTTCCTGTTTTGTGCACAAAACAAATAGGGGAAGGGATTCAGATTAAAAATGGAAGGGCTAGCCTTAGAAGAAGGTAGTGCACCTTTCTATTGTAATCACAGGGAAGACAAAAAAGCTGAGCAAAGATTCAGGGAAGTTTTCAGGTATAGTGCAGAAAATAGAGTTAGTTCTTTTAAGATGGCATTTACTCTTCCAGTGAAGTAGAGGGAAAGACAGTCTGAGGAAGAAAAAGAGGCTTTTAAAAAACCATGGTTGAGATTAGGGAGAGAACTGCATGGGGAAACTGTCCGAGGACTGCTGGGCACAGCTGAGAACCCAATTAGGGAGGAGACTGTAATTTTTCGTAACATTAGCCTGTGGAGCTGTGAAGTTTTTTCTAGCAGCATTTGGAAGGCTGGATGTAGGCTCATGAGAAGGTAAACATTTGGAATGATCTAGAGCTGGGTTTTTGCCAGATGAGTTTAACAGAATACTGAATGGGTAAGGCAGCTGAAAACATTGCAAGAGAATGGATGAATTGATGGACTGTGAGGTCTAAGTCAAATAGGGGCAGAAGCAATTAAAAGGAGGAGGCCAAAAAGGATAGAAGGCAGGGTCTGCAGAGCTCAATGAGGTTAAACAACAACAACAACAACAACAACAACAAAGTCTAACAAGAATAACTGAATGAGAATGAAAAGGGGTTCTTGCTGAGAAAGAAACTTGAATTTAAGTTTTCAGAGATAGAACAGAGTCCAGTGTGTGATTAGAAATGCAGCTGAAATTCGTGGAGGTGATGGTCATTGCAGAGTCTGAAGTTGGAGTCAAAATAGCAAAGGCTCCACCTATTTTCCACAAGGCAGCATCTGGAGTACATAGACTGGTCTTGAGAAAACATCTCCACACCCCTCTCCCCGAGTTTTCTAATGACATGATCTCAGGGGACATTTCCCAGCATTCAATATTCCAAGGTATTTGAGTAAAGTTAATTTGTTCCATCTCAGACCTGTGTGCTCACTCCCTCTTCCAAACTCGGTGATCTCTTTCAGGAGGGTAGCTGAGTGTGAGGAACACAGGACAGATATCAGACTGGGTTCAAGAATCCCCCACCTGAGAGCAATTCTGGTGCATGCTACAACATGGATGAACTCCAAAGACATTACGTTAAGTGAAAATGCCAGTCACAAGAAGATAGGTACTGTATGATTCCACTTATCTGAGAGACCTAGAGTAGTTAAATTTACAGAGACAGAAAGTAGAATGGTGGCTTCCAGGAACTGGGGGAAATGGGAACGGGAACAGGGACTTACTGTTTAATGAGTACAGAATTTCAATTTTGCAAGAAGAAAAGCATTCTGGAAATGGATAGTGGTGATGGTTGCACAATGTCAATGTACTTAGTGATGAACTGTACGCTTAAAGGTGGTTAAGATGGTAAATGTTATGTGTATTCTACCAGAATGAAAAAGAAAAAAACTAGATGCACGTTTGTGGTCACATGATTTACAAAGAAAGTGACATTATAGTGCAGTATGGAGGGGAGGGTGATGGATCAATTAGAAACCTGTGAGGAAAAAAATAAATCTTCACCCCTACCTCACACCATATACAAGTATCAACTCCAGATGGACTGCAAATATAAACGTGAAAGATAAAATAGTAATGCTTGCAGGATAAAACAAAGGAGAGTAACTCTGTAACCTCAGAAGAGGCAAAGACTACTTAAATAGGGTACAAAAAGCTCTAACCATAAAAGAAGAAAAACTAAAAATCAGAATGTACTGAAATTAAAAACTTCCGTTCATCAACACATACAAATGAGAGGGAAAAGGCAAGCCACAGAATTAGAGGAGATATTTGCAACATGCATAACTGAAAAAATGACTTGTCCAGACTACATAAAGAACTCAACAACAACAAAAACAGCAAAGAACTCAACAGGCCAGTAAGGAAAGACAGATCAGTGGAAAAGTGAACAAAAGACTGATTTTAGCAGTATGTACTAAAGCTGAATGTAGACATATCCAGTGATCCAAAAATTTCAAAAGGAATGCAACATGTATTCACTGAAAGGTAGAGCAAACATTAAAGGAGATAGAAATGCATGAAGAGTCTAAAAAGCATTTATCTGGCAAATACAAAGTGCCCACTCTGTATTAAGGCTAGAAGACCATACTACAATGGTGCAAGCAGATATGCTGACAAGTTATTCAAAACAGTGTATTAAATATATGATGTAATTAAGTGGAAGAAAACCCTGTGGGGGAAAAAGAGGGTGTGACAATGCTTGGGAGAGTTTGGAAATGCTTCACTGAAGCCTTCGCTGACACTGAAGTTGGGCCTCGGAGGATGGGGCAGGAGTTCGTCAGGTATGTCAAAAAATGCAGAGTGGGGCCAGAAAGCTCCTAGAGAATTGAGAAACTGCTCAGAAACTGGCACTAGTTCAGTACTGGGCTGTGTGTGTCAGGTACAATGACAGGAGCAGAGGCTAGGAAGGCAGGTCGGGGGCTAAGGAGCAAAGCATCCCCTGCAAGAGCCATGAGCACTGTTCGTCAGAAGGCAATATGACACAGAGGTTAGGCGCACTGGCTGTGTTCTAAATTGGGCTCCACCATTTACCAGCCGTGTGATACGGGCAACAGCCTGGGCTTCAGTGTTCCCGTTTATAACATGGAAATGATCATCTTTACTTCATACGGTTTCTAGGAGGATTAAATGACAATGTGTATCGATCGTTTAGCACAGGGTCCGGCCCGTTAACCGTTAAATGGGACTACATCTTCATTACAATGATTACCATCCCCCCTCCCCCCCCCCCCACGCTCGCCCCGTTCCAGCGCCACCTCCCCGCTACCGCTAGAGAAGCAAAGTTAGCTCCGGTCCTCCTCGCCCACTTGCCACTGCTCCACCGTTTCAGGCCTTAGATCTCAATTCCGAGAGTGGGACCGGGCCAGAAAAGGGGCGGACAGGCCTGGAGGGCAGCGTACACGCCGGCCGCTTACCAGGGCTGGGGTCTCGCTCCTCGTCCTCTGCTGTCCCGCGAGCCTTGAAGCCGGGCGGCAGCGCCGGCCCGATCAGATCCCTCGCCATCCGCGGTGGCGGACACCGGTCTAGCCTACAACCCTATCCACGCAGCGTCAAACCTACCCAAAAGGCAGCCCGGGATCCGCCGCAAACGGCAGGAAATTTTTCCGGCGCCGACCAATTACGTAGCAGCCCGTGGTTGGCAGAGTCCTGTAATTCACGAGACCGGAAGTGACGCATAAAGCTTGCTCCATATTCGCATGCTAGGTTCTCTACCTGGCTGGAGGCATGGCTGAGCCTGCTGGTGACTTCGTGACTTCTAACGGGTGGCTTCCAGCATCCGAGCTGACCCCCACGTTGGGGCCTCTGAGAGACACTGCTTCACTGTCTGACAACTGGATGTTCTGGGCAATGCTGCCGCCGCCACCACCGCCTTCGTCGTCGCCTCCCGTACGAGGGTCAGAGCCTTCCTCAGGGGAGCAGCACCCCCAGGAAGCCCAGGCTCTCCCCGAGGCGCCTCCTCCCTTCGACGCCCAGATTCTTCCCGGGGCGCAGCCTCCCTTCGACGCCCAGTCCCCCCTTGATTCTCAGCCTCAACTCAACGGCCAGCCTTCCTGGAATTTCCAGGCTTCTACATCGTGGTACTGGAGACAGTCTCCTGGTGTTTTTCCTGGATATCAGAACACTCCGGGTAGGCTATTACTCTTTTCCTTACCGCCCCTTTACTTTTCTTTTTCCCTTCTTCCCTTTCCCACTTTTCCCTTTCTCTACTTTTGATTCTGCCCTGCACTCTTGGGGGTCTGGTCAGTTAAGGTCTCACAATTTGACCGGAATGTTTGCTCTGATTGTTCAGTCTGTTTAGCCGCTGAGGAACTGGGAATATAGCAGTGAACGAAACATAGAAAAATCCCTATTTTTATGTAGCTTAACATTTCCTGGTGGAGACAGAATTAAAAAAAAAAAAAAGCAGTGTGTATTAGAAGACAGTGAGTGCTACCTAGAGAGAGAAAGCAAAGAAGGTGATAGGTAGTTCTGGTGTAATTGTCAGTGTCAGTCATAATGAAGGTGACATTTGAGCAGAGACTTCAAGGAGGTGAGTGATCAGAGCTATGGGGACCGCTGGGGGAATAGGATGCAGGCAGAATGAACTCCAAGTGCAAAGAGCTTGAGGCAGGTGCTATAGATCAGAATGGAAGCCACTGTGGCTAGAGGGGAGCAATCCTGGGGTCGAACTGTAGAAGACTGGGGAAGAGGACAGACCTGCTAGGGCCTTGTAGACGATGGGATTTTGACTTTTTACTCTTGTGATAAGGATAGTGCGGGGGAGTGGCATAATTTATGTTTTAGAAGGATTAATGTGGCTACTCATGGGAATTGACTTAAAAGGAGATGAGTTAGGAAGCTATTGCAGTTATCCAAGTGAGAGATACTGGGGACTTGGACCAGGGCGGAGCTCTGGAGGTGATGAGAAGTGTTGGATTCTGGATCTGTTTTGAAGGTAGGTTTGGGCCAACACGATTTGCAGGCTGTGAGGTAAACTCAAGACAAGAATAACTTAGTTTTTTGCCAGTCAAGCAGAAAGATGTGGATTGAACAGATTTGGAAGAAAGACCAGGAGTTCAGTTTGAAATACGTGTCAAGAAGATATATCAAATAAGCTGCTAGTTTGTACTTTCAGGGGAGATTTGTGGCTAGAGCTGTGAATTTGGGTGTCATCTGCATACAGATCATGTTTAAAGCCATGAGATTGTTTACTTAAAACCTTCTCCAACTCTGCCTAAGGTTATTTTACATTAACTTGATGCCAAATCAGCCTTTACTGTGTGCCAAATGCTGGGAATATGAATGCGCCTAAGACGGTCCTGAGACAGGTGAGATGGGTTCATAAATAATAACCACAACACAGCATGACTGGTGCTGGAGGCATATGAAAGGTGATTTCAGAGTGTGGAGGAAGTTGGGGAAAGTTTTTGGAAGAAGTGTCTTGGGAGATGTTTAGGATTTTGGAAGAGATATTTTTGTAAGTCGGGGTGAAGAGGTGTAAGTACAAGGTGAGTTCTAAAGATTGCACTTTCTGTTGCGACTGAAGCCGAGTAAGTGGAGGGTATGGGGGAAGAGTAGCATGAGAAAATATACCGGCGTCTCATTGAAGGATTCTGGGAAGTCATTCGTAGATTTTCCAGCAAGCTTGTGACCATTGGAGGATTATTTTTTGGTGGTGTCAGTGCACAGTGTCTATTGGAAGAGAGGGCTTAGGAACTGGAGACAGTCTGGGAGGCTGTCAAAGTAATCTTGGTGAAGGATCAGGGTTTCAGAGCTGGATCACAGCCATAAGAAAGGAAAGAAGTTGAGAGAAAATGTATTTCACAAGGTTATTTTCCTGGTATAAAATTGATGCTGAAAAGCTGTATTGGGATAGTATTGTTTACATTTCTAATGTTTGAAATAACAAGAAATGTCATCAAGGTTAGAGTAGCCATTCCTTTCTTTGATGCCTTTGAAGCATTGTATGGACATCTGATCTTACCAATTATGTGTTCATTTGAAAAATATTTATTTGGTAGACTAGTCTTAATCTTTGTTAGTTTGTTTGAACTACTTTTCTTCCTAGAAGAGGTAGTTTCTACCCAAGTATTTGTGACATCATAGAGCAAATAAAAATTTAAAAAATTGTATAGTCGCAAATATTTATGGATTTCTTTTTGTTTCTTAGTTAAGCGTTCTTATTTTCCACGAAAATATGATGCAAAGTTCACTGACGTCAACTTCCCTCCCAGTAGAAAACAGAAGAAAAAGGTATTTTTAAAGATATTCTTGAATGGGACACTTTGGTCCCTATGTCACTGTTTCATGCCTTGCGTTTCTCACGTAACTGTTTCAGTGTTTTGCATCCATTATTGACACAGTGGGGCCTTGCTATAATAGGATCTTTAAAGATCTTAGCCTTAAGTAAAAACTTTAAGCAAAATCTTTTTGAGAAGTAAATGGAGAAATTGTAGAAAGAGAAAACGTTGAATTCATTTCAATATATTTTCAAAAATAAATATAACAGAATTGTGATTATGAGTAAATATAAATGTTATTAAACCTTGGTGAACTAGATATTTATATATTAGCAAACTGGAAGGGGAAGGATGGAATTTAGGGAGAAGAACAGAAGTCCAAACTTTCTCTTATAAAATTGAAAGTATGGAGTTAAGAACAAATTATAATGACATAAACTCTTTATTTTTCATTATCTTTTTCTTTTTGACACAGGGATCTTTTAGGAAAAAATACTTCTGTGATTGAAAAAAGAGCAGTCTCTTCTTCTTGGGTCAAAATCAATTAAATTTAATGTTAATTTAAAATAGTTTATATTTAGTTTATCCTCTGTGCCTGAAGTTATGTCTGAAATTGTTCAGGCAAGATTTTTTTGTGTTATTATTGTTACCTTATTTATTTATTTATCTTAATTCATTGTACTGCTTCAGTTCTTTTCAGTAGTAGATATTTATCATTTTTAGGAACAAAGTTATTGTTTTTTAAAAATCAAGATCAACTCTTTGTTGTGCTTCAGGGACCAAATCTTAAAATAGGCTGCTTTCTGAGGAAATTTATAAATCTGGTCTGTTTTAAAGATGTGCATTAATTAGTGTCAGGGCATCTGACTGGCTCAGTTGGTAGAGCATGTGACTCTTGATCTTGGGGTTGTAAGTTTGAACCCCGTGTTGGGTGTGGTGATTACTTAAAAATAAAATCTGGAAAACAAATAATGTCATTAGTTTAGAATGAGTCGAATAAAGTCTACAGCATGGGGGCGCCTGGGTGGCTCAGTCGGTTAAGCGTCCGACTTCGGCTCAGGTCACGAGCTCGCCGTCGGTGAGTTCGAGCCCCGCGTCGGGCTCTGTGCTGACAGCTCAGAGCCTGGAGCCTGCTTCCGGTTCTGTGTCTCCCTCTCTCTCTGCCCCTCCCCCGTTCATGCTCTGTCTCTCTCTGTCTCAAAAATAAACGTTAAAAAAAAAAAAAAATTAAAAAAAAAAAAGTCTACAGCATGAAATTAGTATTCCTCATTTTGACATGAAAACTGTATAGCTAATATTAACAAAATATTGTACAAGTATATTAACATAATCCCAATGTTAAACAATAGAAGGCCATTTCCTAGTCTCATTGTAAATAATTTTTTTGTTTTAAATTTAAGAATAAAAATAGCAAATTGGGAATAAGTAACTGGCCTTTACTAAATGATTCTTTTTTGGGGTTAAAAAAAATCTGATATAGTTGTTTTTCCTAAAAGTTGAAATGCTGTTTTGTTTTTAATTTTTTTATTTTTAACATTTATTCATCTTTGAGAGACAGAGAGCTAGAGTGTGAGTGAGAGAGGGGCAGAGAGGGAGGGAGACAAAGAATCTGAAGCAGGCTCTAGGGTCTGAGTTGTCAGCACAGAATCCGATGCAGGGCTCGAACCCATGAACCTCAAAATCATGACCTGAGCTGAAGTCAGACGTTTAACCAACTGAGCCACCCAGGTGCCCCAAAATGCTGTTTTACCATGAGTATTGATTAGACCATTTTGACATATGCTGTGCCCTTAATTAGATTACCAATTTGATCTACTCGCAGTTTATATTCTACTCAGATTTAACAATTTTTTTATAATGCTTGTTTTTCCTAATATATTTCCTATAGAAAACAAAACAGAATTATCCTTTCATTAGAAATGTATTCAGAAGTTTTCCCCACATACAGGGATTATGTGAGAAAGTACATACTACTGAGAGGATAGTTATATTTTCATCATTGAGTAAACATTTTTTATCAAAAATCTAATGCTTGTTTTTGTTTGCAGAAAAGAAAGGAACCAGTTTTTCACTGTTTTTGTGATACCTGTGATCGTGGTTTTAAAAATCAAGAGAAGTATGATAAACACATGTCTGAACATACAAAAGTAGGTTTTTCTTGGTTGCCCTGAAGTGTTTTTAACAAAATGAGTATATTTGGTAGAAATTTTGAGCTTTTTTTCCTTAAAAGTTTATAGTTTTCATAGAAATGTCATTTGATGTCTTGACACATTGAGATAGGGGCCCTGGGATTTGCAGTTGGAGGGTGGGGAGCCTACTGCTTCAGGAAGAGGCAAGATGGCAGTAAAGAAAGGAGGTCTGACAACTGAGTGCTCACCTCC